TTTTTTTTGGTTTTCCAGAGATTTAGGAATTCTTTTTGTTCCCGTTTTGTGTTTTTGAGGCAGGAACTTGCTCTGTAGCCCTGGTCAGATGCAAATTCCCACTCTTTCTGCATCCGTCTTCCAAGTGCTAGGATTATAGGTGTGTTGCCATGCCCAGCTGGAATTGGGGAGTTCTTGAGTGCGCTCTTAAATATCTCCCTTCGTGTACAGTCCCCTCACCATTCCGCCCTGGCTCAGGTTATTATGTAAGAAATCCTTCTGTGTGTCTTCATGATCTCGTCTCTTCTTGCTGAGACTTTCACTTTTTATCTTTTAATTTTTTTATATTTTTACATCCTTGTTTCAATGTTCTGTCTCTCTCTAAAAACCACTGTGGCTATGATAATAAATCCCAACTTTATATCCTTAGTCCTAGCTAACTTTCTAAAAGTGTAAATCACTGAGTTAAAAGAAATGATTTCCTCTCAGTAATGTCCTCTATCACTTTCTACTGCTTCAATCATTACAGTCCATGAGAGACCATCACAGGGTCAGTTGATTAATGTATGCATTATTCCCTTTGAATAGAATTTTCCTCATCTTAAAATTCTTAAGCTGCATATTTTTCCTTCAAGATTATGTTCAAATACTTCCTGGACTCATATAATCTGAGTTTGGTCACTTTTGAGTATAACTGTAACATTGATGTCATATATGTGTTTTATATACATGTAAATCTTCCCAAGATCACTGAAGACAGGAACCACATTTTCTTTATGCCAAGGTCTATCACAACATCTATCACTGAATAAATTTCAGTGAATACGTTTTCATCCATTCATTATGCCACAAGCTAAGTATATGTCTTTGGGCAAACTCCTCAACTGACTGTATTATTATTGCACTTGAAGCTCCTGGCGTTTATAGTTCTGTATTGCATTTCCTAACTTTTTCTCCAATGTCATCCTGAACTCTAATATGAAATTCTTCCTATATTTTATTGTAAACACAAAATCTCATCCATGACTTTCAATGGTTTGAAATTTATTTTAATTATTCGAGTCCCTAGAGTTTCAGCCTTACAGCACACTAGGATACTTCCCCCCCCACAATTATAATTATTATTTTGTTGGCCATCAGTCAATTATAAACCTTATTCTATATGTAAAGCCATAAATTGCATTATAGCAATTTACTTGTCATCTCTTCTTGGACAAATGTACTTGGAACAAAAAAAACCCAGTGTGACATTGATGAAAATCCGTGTCAACACAAACATCTGGATACAGTGCACCTGAAGCTGGAGAGCAAATTCTGTGCAGAAGAATCTTTCCCTTATGCTCAGCCATGTGTTCTTTTAGAACCACTTTAATACAGAACTGTAACCTCATCATGAACCTATATGTCTTTCCTTCGTCCCTTAACCTTCAATTCACTTACTTTATATTTTCATTTGCAGGAACTTCGGGCAGTTGCACGGTAATCATGCCATCTAAGTTGGTCTTCCCGATGAAGGCAGGCTTGGTGCGTAACACGTCTGGGGCGGTCTTTGCCGTCACCCTATGCTGCAGCCCTCCAGCACTATTTCCACGGTTCGTTAACACGAAGGAATATGACTTCTCAGGCTTCAGGTTCACAATTAATTTCTGTGTGGCTCGGCCGTCTACTTCTTCTACCATTTTCCCATCATCATAAAGAATCTAGCAACACAACCAATCACAAATTGGGTTATTGTTTTCCAAATCAATCTTTATTCGTTTGCTTTTCCAGGTCAATTCTAATTTTGGGCAATTCCTAAACACCTAAGAATTCGTAGTTCTATGGATTGCATCAATTTTCTTGTCAGTTCTTCCTGTGCTGTGGTAAAATGTTTCTACTAAAAACATATAGCAAAGCAATGTGCAAGATCTGACCTGTCAGTTATGTGTGATCTTAATGGGATGTGTGAAGAAAATAGTCTAGGTTTTCAATGTATCATAAAAATAATTTTATCCTAAATTGTTCAATCCTATTCTAAATTACATTTTCACTTTCCAAAAAATTTTCTCTACTTATTTCACAAATATTAATGTCTTGTTGATGTTTCTCAGTGTCTTAATGACAAACCAGAATTTTTTTTAAAGTACAGGAATTCAGAACAATAAATAAAAAATTATATCTCCAAGAATTTTGTGGTATAAATAGTAGGAAATATGAAAATTCATCTCTGTGATGGAAACAAAAAGCACTAGTTTTATGTAAGAATTTCAAGTTCAGAGTACTAGGTACTATGCTCGCAAAGCCAGGACTAGCTTTGAGCTCTGCTCCCTTTGGGCTGGAAAGAACAAAATATCAAAGCACCAAGAGTAAGTTTATCAAGACAGTCACAAGTGAGACCACCAATATCGGTCCAAATAGACTTTGTTCTGTGGTGAGCGAGAGCTGACCCAGGGCCCTGGGTTATAAACTAAGTGAGCTTTATCCTTAGCCCATGTGTCCAAGCATCACTGTATGCTTTGAGAATCACTTACTCCGATGAGTTGCCTCTTCCACTTATACCCATGATACCTTACAATGTGGAGAACAACTTACTTTGAAAGGCATGGCGGAATTATAATTCTCTGGAATCTCCCAAGACAGTAGCACTGAAGTCTTCATGACTGCTTTGACATGAAAATTTTTTGCAAACACTGCTGGAAAAAGGAAAAACAGTGTATTTAAACTATTCCTAAAGCATGCAACCTGTCATTTTCCACCATGGACCAGAGAGCTTATGATAGATGCTTCCTACATTGAACAAAGAGAGAAGTGTGATTTGCCTACCTGTTTAGAGCATTCATTTTAATTCATAAAGAACTCTCCCTTTTCTCCAGTTCAGTCAACTACATTGTGTGCTTTCCTTACCTGAGGACATGGGTTGGTGTCAGCCAGACTTGCGATGGCATTCTATAACTGAAATCTAAGGTGTTCAGAGCGTACTAAGTTATCCATACTTTACCTGCTGGTTTGGGCTGAACCTATTAATATGAATGGGCCGATCAGTTATTTATAGCTTCAAAATACTGATTTCCAAAGACTGCTATTCCTTTAAAGGAGGAAGGCCATAAGTAGACAAATCCTACCTTGATCCACAGGCAGTGTCCTGAACTGGACACTGGGACTATATGGCCCGGGCCCTTTGCTCGTGTGAGCACGTACTTTTACATCATATGTAGTGTCTGGTCTTAAGCCAGTGAGTGTCATAGAGGTGTCAGCTGGAACAATAAGTTGCTCCATTGGAAGAAGAGGGATGTTGATATCCCTATACAGGAGGGTATACTTGGTAATAATGCCGTTCCTCTCTGCCAGGACGGGTGGTTTCCAAGATAACTGGACAGAGGTTGACGTGGTGCCTTCTGAGTGGAGGTTCTGAGGGAATCCAGTTGGCATCTCTTCTGGAACGACAATCTCTTTCACCATCTCCTCCCCAAAGCCCACTTTGTTTCTGGCTGAGAGTCTGAAGACGTATGATGCACCCTTGTGGATGTCTGTGGCTGTAAAGTGATCTTCTTTCTCAGAAAACTCAAGAGTAGTGAGTGGCTCCATGTCCTTTCTGCCAAATTTTAGACGGTAGCCCTGAAGGGGTCCGAATGTGTCCACAGGGGGGTGCCATTGAATGAGAGCAGTATTCATCTGGGTGTGGTTAATCACAAGCCGGGGCTTCCCTGGAACTGGAGCACACAGGATGGAATGGTAAGACTGACTGTCATTCATGAACACATTTCAGCCATTGCTAAGTGGGAAACCCACTCTGACTAGTAATTCCCTTTTTATTATTTACTAAACAGAACAATGCTTGGCCTACATACTTTTGCCAAACGATCTTCTTCTTCTTACTTTGTTAAGGTAGGCTGAGATAGAATTTGATAATGAATACAATATTTATGCCTAAAGGCTCATGCTTGCTATAGAAAATTGAATCTGAGTAATGATTAGCAAAGTTGGAATAGCTAATAAGAGAGATAATTGTGATGGCTGGTTTGTATATACAATGCACTGTGTTATAATAAGCACACTGTACACAATGCATCATTTGACTTTAACCTCCCCACTCCTCAATCTGTGCTCTAATTACTTATTATTATTTCCATTTTCCGCAATGGGAAAAAGAGGCCAATAGAACCAGAAACCTCTCTAAGGTCAGGTGCACACAAGAGAAAGCTACCAGGCATGCCCAGCTGCATCTGACCCACAGTCCACACCTTCAGCTGTACTGTCATGCTGCTTTGAGTGATTGTGGATCCAATTTGCACTTTATGGCCACTTCCTTATCTATCTATGAGTTAAACTTACGAGGTTCCTCAAGTTGCTACTGTGAATTATTAAATGAAGAGATACAAATAAAACGTTGTACTCTACTAGTATTAATCATATTAACCACAATGATCAGTAATCATAACACTGGGCTTTTGTGTTCAGGAGTTACTCTCCTCTTTGTCCACATTTTTAACGTTAATTTAGGTGTATAAAAATATCTAGTGTATTCATTCAGTGCTTACTACATCTATGAACCTGCAAATGGAGAACTACTATTCTTGGACTGAAAGACAACGCAGTCTAGGGTTTCATCAGCAGGGGTCTAAACATTGAGGAGGAAGAAGAGGGCATAGCCACAAACAGAACTAAGCCAAATCTACAGAAAGAGAAAGACAGCTGGACAAAAGGCAAGGTTACAGTGCTCGGAGATGGGTGATGAAAACCAGCATCATGGGGATTTTACAACAAATGAAAAAACAGGCTGAGGAAGATGAGGAATCAGGAGGTGAAAAGATACCTTCAAACGCTAACTGGTTAACATTTTCATTTTATCTGCCAGAGAGCTGAGGCCCAAATGGGTATGTGGTCTGCCCAAGAACATGTCCCTGAACATATTTTACACTTAACCAGGGGAGAAATAGTTTGGTTTCAAGCACTGGATTGATTCATAGTTTATATAGGTCCGTTAAACTCCAGTATAAGGAAAAACAGTTCCTAAAGTTTGAAATGAAAATTATATACATGTGTTGCAGGTTGGCCCAGGAATGAACCCACTGCATATTCAGTATTTCTCAAGAAAAAATGTATCCAAACATTTCCACAATGAATAGGGGACTTTTAGAGTGCAGAATATTTTAATTCTAAAAAAAAATGTCACTTTACAGTGATTTTGGCAGACACCATTGCTTGTCAGGTCAGGCAGACAGCATTTATATATATTATATAATTATTTTTCCACTCAGTGTGTGTTACATTTATGAATTTTGATGCTTATTACATCTTTGAATACCAATTAAATACTTATTCAATGAATAAAAATGCAAGATCTGATAAGAAAAATTTATGGTGAAATGAGACTTCAAGCAGAAACTCTGTCCTTTAATAAATAGAACCAATTTGAAGCTATGAGGTGGAAATGTAATTATTAATTTTCACATGCTTTGGGGCTAATTGATTTTATTAAATGTTTATTAAATTTCTCTAAAGCTCTGGTTCGAAGAAATCACACAATGGTATGTACACTGTGTATCTTGTTTCAGTAAGAAACATGGTAATCCAGGAAAGTAAAACCATTTTAAATTTCTTGATAAAACCCACAAATACAAGTTGTATTTTAATAATACTTTCTGGCTGTACATGATTTTGGTATTATCCAGATAGTATTTCACTTGAAAAGGTTAAGGTACACATTTGGAGAAATATAATAACTGGAAAATTATAAAAAAATGTTAACTGTGTAAATAAACATCTGTTCTTCCGTAAGTGTCAAAGCTTAGGTAGGAAAATGCAAATTCCTTTTCAGCATTGTTCCATCCTATCTTCTTTTGGGATATAAAGGTGTTTGGTCTGGGAACCTGACTTCTGACTCGTCATCTCCAGAGCATCTCAGCCTCACCCATAATAGTCATTTGTTTCCAGACAGAAATGCAAACCAAGCCCAAGAACTATTAGAACCACTGCAAAGTTCAACATGAAGGACTCACACTGGGGCCTTAGGGAGGGCTCCCAGCCGGATCCCAGACAAGGCTGGCCACATGAAGAGAAAGCTAGTTTCCATAAGCACGGAAAAGAAGTAACAAGTGGAGTTTAAATAAGGGGGTCCAGCTCTCAAAAATTGCTGTAATTTTACCCTGGGAATGACTGGATGAAAAGGGAGAGGGAATAATTCGAGCTCTAAAAAAGGATTCTCCAAAAGTCCACGTAACAGCAACAGGACCACTTATTTGGGACTTTAAGAACCACTGAACGCATGAAGCATTCACACTTGATTTTCATAACACAAAACCTGGCACTCAGACATCCAAGGGCAGGCAGACAGCAGGGTCGGGTGCAGCACATGTAAACCCAGTGAGGAAAATGAGGAGGAGGAGCGGAGGAGATGGTGTTATAAGTGGGTCAAGACTTACAAGTCAGCTTCTATGTTATCGATGGGTACTACTTTTAGAGGCCAGATCAGCAGCAGGGTCAATGGTTCTATTTACTCCAGCACTGACGTGCAAGGGTTCACACGAAGGAAGGAAGACACATCTTAAATACTCAGAGGAGGGCTGCCAGTCAGCAGCAGTAAGTAGTGCCTTGGTAAATAGCAGAAGCAAACAGGCCCAGCTGCGCAGCAAACACGCCAACACTGTCTTATGTCCTGACACAAATGAGCCTTTCCCGCACTTTCAGCTCTTCTTTCCTTATTGTACAATTCCCTCTTAAGAACCTTTTATGCCATGAGAAAAGGTACACGTTTGAGGTTACTCCGAAGGCTTTGCAAGAGCAATCACTGGACGGCAGCGAAGGCCTATGCCCTGTGGCTCTAAAATCGGTCTCCTTTTAAACAACTGCAAGCAAGCAGTGGGGAGAACTGACTGGCCTAACTCAGCTATGTCCTAAATTCTTCAATCACTGCTATTTGATTCACTACAAACACAGCTTCTCAGGCAAGTAGTGAAATTCATTTAACAGTATACAGGAAATGCCAAAACAATGTATCCTTTGGTTGTCTTCAATCTCAAGGTCTTAGGCAGTAAGTACATTAATTCTTATGACAGAACAATGAGGGTATTAACAAAGCTACTACACACACATAATCACTCAAATAGAAAAGCTAGCACCTTCACGCGACAGTTTCCCTCAGGTCACATAAGTCTTAAACAGATTGCTTAAATTAAGACTAGTACTTCTGTTGGCAAGGTTGGTTATAGACTCTGGAAACAATGTACAAGAAACAATCAGAATTCTTACCATTAATTTAAAATTTCAGGGGGATTCTCAAATTTTCCACAAGGGCTACAACTATATACCTTTATAATCATTACTAGAAACTCAACTGTAGATAAGTCAGTATGTTTTTCCAGATACATAAACATTTGAAGAGTTTTTAATGACTGTATTAAAAATAAATTATTCTAATGTTCCCTAATCGCATAGATAGATATCACAAGTCAAGGGAATGTTTTTCTATTGGTGGGTAGGTGAGCGGTAAGGAGAATTTAGAGCACCTCTTTGAGGAGTTGCAGTCTGGATGATCCCACCTTTGTCTCTGGTACAACGAATAGGCTGCAAGCTTGTAAAATCCAAGCATTATTTGATATTTCATTTCCCAAGTCTCTCTTGGTTAAGAAAGACTGGCAATTGTGAGTGAAAATTAAAAAACGAAAACCAAACAACAACAACAACAACAAAAAACCTGCATAAATGAGAAAGACTCACAATTCTAAATAGTATTTTGCATGGAGGGTAAAAACTAATGAGCTATTTTTAATGATGAAAAAACAGACAAAATAATTTATTTTTCTTGGAATTTTAACCTCCGGGCTATAAATCCTATACTTTCACATCTTTGCTCTGTAAATCCCATTTCATGGGCAATCAGAGACTGATACTTCATATGACATTAGTCACACATAAGTATGTGAAAGCAAGTATAATACAGAAATCCATTTTCCTGGATTGGGCACTCGATTTCAGGGGTTTCGCTGGTTATCTGTTCTAATCACAATCGCTCCTGTAGCCAGTTCTTGTAGCACTGTGCCCTTACTGAACGACTATCTCCTAGTGAGGGTACAAAAGTAGCTTGATCCGATGTTATCCTTGATATAAAAGAGAGAAGAAAGGAAGGAAAAAGGAGAATAAAAGCCTGGTGTCTGTCTCAGAGATGCTTTGCCAGGTGCACGCCGCTGCCTGAGGCAGCTCCAGGTGGTACGACGCGAGCGAGGCAGATCGTGGGACATTTAGACAAACTTGGCAGTGAGACGGCACCCAGGAGAGTACCCAGCATCACAGCCGAGCTTTGCTTTCGTGTTTACTCAGAGGTGTGTTCCTGTAGCTGTGTGAGAAGTGGCTCAGGAGTGAATCAAATCACAGCCTAAGCGTTCCACGGGAGATGCTGTATGACAGGAAAGGGGGAGAACCCTCCTCTAATCATCTCTTTATTTATCACTTTTAAGATTCCAGATCTTCCTTCATGCTGGTTTTTCCTAATGCGGCCAAGCACGGTAACATTTTTGTTTTCACATTTTCCATTAGCTTTATTATGTAAAATACTTTTTTTTTTTTTTTAAACAAAATTGGGTTTTCCTATGTTGGAAAAAGCTTGACTCAATTACTTGAGTAGTTCCAAAGACATAACAGGGAACCAAATGTGGTTACTCACTCCTCTGGGCATCTCTATGTGGATGGAAAGGAGGCACTGTGGGGTGGATGACTGGAGTAGAGAAAAAAGTAAGTAGAGAAAATAATATTGGGAGACACAAAACTACTGCCGGAATCCGTCAACTAACCACCACATCTATGCTCCAGCCCTGTTAAAACAAAGATGCATCACCGTGCAGAAAAACGAAATCATCTTAACTTTCATGTGGAAGGTTGTTTTTATTTTTATTTTTTTTTAAAGGATAAGGTTTCCATATCCTGCCATGTATTTGTGAACATTATCAAAGGTTTTTCTCAAGCACAGTAACTTTAACAAACACTGAAGAGTTTTCTTCTTCAGGAAGCAACAATTTACAATTATGTAGCTTTTTTGATTCATCATTCTTTTTTCTATTTTCCATCTTTTATGTAAGTGAGCTTCTTTACAAGCCCCACAGTAGAGGCTAAGGGGGAAAACACGAGAAGGGTAAAACTGTAAGTCATGAACCCAGTGGATACAGTGACTCGATTCTATAATGGGTGTGCGATGGCCAGTGTTAAGAACCTAGAGTCGCTTGGGAGATGGGTCTGTGGGCATGACCCTGAGGGATTATCTTGTTTCGGTTAATTGATGTGGGAAGATTCAGCCCTAGAGCTGTCCTCGGGTTAGTGTTGCAGACTGAATACAAAGGAGAAGACTGGCTAAGCATATTATTCTCTGTTCTTTCTTGATTATGGATGCCTCAAGCTCCCGCTTCCCCGCCACCATGGACTGGGGCTTCAAGTATGAATCAGCTTTTTCTCCCTTAAGTTACTTTTGTCAGGGTATTTTATCAGAGCAGGAAGAGACAAGTTTGTTGTGGAGGTGCCGCTGAAGTAACCCTGTGATTTCGCTCCTTAGATGCCTTTTCCTTGAACATGCAACTCATTCCTTTACATTCGAGTATTAGTTTAAGTAACTTTCCTTACCAGTCATGGTGAGTGGCACATGCTTGTCATCCTGGTACAGAGGAAGCCGAGGCAGGAAGATCACTATTCAAGGTCAGCCCAGGCTACTTAGCAAGACCCTCGAATAAAATAAAACAACAGCAACAACAACAAAACCACCCTTCCTCTTGATGTAGCTAAATGAAATATTAACGATAATATTTTGATCCTTGTTTCCTCCCTCTGTCTCTACCAGCAAACTTCAGCTGACAAGTTTGTGGTTAGAACGACGCTAACACAACTAGCTCGACGCACTGGCTTTGTGTCCTTACAAACCTCAGTTTTTTTTGCTTCAGATAGAGATGTCTGCATTGATCTTTAGACAGAGGATTCTTTTTAATATCTTCTTCCTAAATTTATATTAATTTGCCTAATTTTGAGACTGTATGTAAGTTTTCTTCCTTATAACTCACTGCCTAAGGTATAAAAGATGAATGCTTCCTCTTTTCGGGGTCCAGATTTTGAGACTTAAGTCCTCTGTGCCAGGCTGTAGTCAATATAAACCTACATCCTGCACCTCTAGGTGTCATCTGCTTGTCCTGCAACACTCTAGCACTCTAAGATTTCTTCTTAGTCTGTGTAGGCTTTCGATAACGTGCCTACATATCTTTACTTTTGTCTTTAACACATCCTGATGTCTTCTTTACACACCCACTTGCTTATTTGTTAATTAATCTAGGTCAGCAAACAGACAATGAAGACAGAGGTTTTTCTGTTGGTTGATTATTGTATCCCCAGTATGGGAAGTGGTTGCTGAGACATAGCAGGTGCTCAGAATATACTTGTAAATGAATGACTGGATCATTTGCACAAAGTATATGTTTGATCTTTATTTTTCCTCCTCAGTTAAGAAAAGTATTACAAAGCTGACCACACTCCACTTATTTTTTCTTGTAACATAATGAAAGAATGATAGATTACACCTATACCATTTGGAGGAAATTGGTATTACTGTTGAAGGTAAAATATGCACAGAAGTGATTACCTGCTCCAGTGGTGGAGACTAGTTTGGGCTTGCTGCGGGCTCCATCTCCTTTGGTGGTGTAGGCTGTGACCGTGAGGGAGTATGAGGTTTCAGGCTGCAGCCCAGAAATGATCATGTCCTGAAACGACACAACACAGTAACACTGATTCAAATACGCTTTGCAAGGCCTGGAAGAAAAGGAGGCTACAGACCTTCATCACGTGCATGCTAGTACGTGCTCTGAAGCCATGCTAAGCCCTCAAGGTTCAGGCCTGAGCTCATGCTATGGAGACGGGGCTTCACGTTAATATTGAAGTTGGACATTCAGTCTAGGAAGCAGCTTGGAAAGAGAGGAGTGAAAATGGAAAATGGAGTCAGACTTCCTGACACCCTTGAATTTAAGTCTGCTTTGTTGATCATCTTGGTAATCCAGGGCTGTTCACCTACTTCCAGTTTTGGAATAACAGAACCTCAAGGGTTAGGGGAGATTAAGGGAGTTCTAGCAGGTAAATTTTTACAACTATGCCTGGCTTATCACAACCATCACACACACTAGCTGATATTCTATGGGGAACTTTCCCATACAAATGCACTGCAGTACAGCCCACAGTCTGGTAATAGTGAGAGTGCCAACATGTCCTTTCTGCCCTCAGGAACTAGCTGGCTGGCTAGATGATTGATCTGTTGGACCAGGACACCCTTGTGACCAGAGAATAGTCACAAGATGCCAGAAACTACCTACTGGTTAATTACACAGACTGTGAACAAAAGTTGTCACACAATGTAGAGACTCTTCTGGGAATTTAAAGAGTAGACAGTAGAACCAAGACTATAATGAGATTTGAGTTTACAAGTCACTAAGATTCCTTAATTAATTCTGATCATTTAGAAAACAATATCACAAACGATCTACAAATTCTCTTAGTTTTCTTTTAATAACGATCCAATGATCTCTGAAATAGTGCTCCCAATTGGAGTTACATGATTCTTAACTAGAGCTCTGGCTATTGACTTGTTCCATTATTTTCTTTAGAGCTGTACACATACACATACAAACATAGCCACATACAGAACAACACGTAGATCACTTTGCATTTGCACAGCTATGTTTTTAAATTGAATATGGATACACAGAGGAAATACTCAATGTCATTATCTTCCTAATTTAAGGTACCATGAGTATTAAATGAATGGACAGGTCTGTGAGAAACACAGTGGTTTTTCTTAGTGGAGCAATTTACAGGTATTATGGAAGTTAACTGCTAGAGCTGATGGCAAATATGACAGATTTTGACAAGATGCTTTCTCAACAGAATGAGAATATCATTATTGTGGAAATTGAAACATTTCTAATATCATCTGCAGAGTGCTTGGAGATTTCACTCTGCCAGATAAATGGGCTGTTTGGAAAAATATATTTTATCATTAAGATCTTGAAATAGTTCCACTGACATCACAGAGGGCACTAAAATCAAGTCAGCTGCCCGAGAGCAGTATTTTAGATGATGGCCCAGAACCAGGATACTCCAAAATGATGATGGCTTAAATGCTGACCTCATCCTAAGGTTTCCATAGCTAAGCAGGAAAGTGAAACGGATAATAGTAAATTTTACCACTGAGTTGTGTGACAACTTTGGTTCTGTTCTAAGGCTCTCATCCATAAAACTGGGGCTAACCACATACCCTTCTCTCTGCACAGGTTGTTATAGGTAGAGTGTGCAATATACAGGAACTGCTCAAGACCTGTTTAGTACTATAGTTCTAGCTTCACATATCTCTGCCTCCCACAGTCATGCTACAACTTGGGCCATAATTTCTGTCTTTTTAAAAAATATTTTATTTACTGTTTTCATTTTATGTGTTTGCGTGTATTGCCTGCATGTGGGTAAGTGCACCCGTGTCATACAGTGCCTGTGGAGGACAGAGGAGGCCGTCGGATCCCCTGGAACTGGAGTTACAGACGGTTGTTAGCTGCCATGTGGGTGCTGGGATTCAAACCTGGGTCTTCCGCAAGAACAACCAGTGTCCTTAACCACTGAGCCATCTCTCCAGCCCCAGAGTGTACTTCCTTAATGGTGCTGGAATCCTTCAGGAGGCAGAGTGAAGTGTGAAGGTCACAGTTCCCCATGCCCTTTGTTACAGGCTGTCTCACTGCATTCCTTCCACCACCTCTTAAAAGTCAGTGTTCCTGGGATTCGTTCCTGCTATTCAGTTGCATTTCCAGAGAACCCACCTTCATTGTGGAACCTGAAATAATTATTTTTGACCATATTCCAAATTTATCTCCACTTTGATTTGCTCCTGAGCTCCCAGCAGTAAGAACACTGTAAAAATATGCAGGACCACTCCCCCTCATGCCTCTTTCCGTTTATCTCACTTCAAGTTCAACTCAAAACAGAAAAATCAGTCCCAGAGGTAGATGTTTCCTCATTACATATTTTAATGAATGGTAATAGCTCTTGAAAATTTATGAGATACTTCTGACTTCTTTTTCTTCCTTAAGGTCTTTCTCAGCAAGTTTTGTCAGTTCTTTAAAATATTGATCAGACTGCTTCTTTTTAATTTCTGCAGCCTTAAGTTTTGTTGAATTTTGATCATTTTATGAATAAGTCAGTTAAAAAAACTCTGTTTTTAAATCGTTTCCTGTCTTTCTATTCTCAGATTTATCCATTAGGTCACTGGTTTTTAAACTAAGGCAGTAGCCCATTTATGAGCTCATGAAATCAAATTATCAGTCATAATCACTGTTAAATAAAATAGACTTGAATACAAAAGGTTAAGTTTATTACATAGTTAAAGAGAAATCAGGATTTATAAAACTTCTTTTTTATTTGAACATTTGTTGTATCATGTCATAAATGGACTTCTTACTATAAGACATAGTCAAAATGTTTATAAAACACTGTTGCACAATCAATTTCATGAAAACTGACATTGTGCATTTCCCAAGAACACTAACAAGAAACTTGTACTTTGGCAATAAACATTTATACACTGAGTGAAAGAAAAAGCTTCTTTTAATTTTACCCTACTTCTCTTTTTAATATTTTCTCTCTCTTTCCAAGATTAAAGGACTGAGATCCCTTAGTATTCATCCTGATGCCCACGATGTTGAGATTTATCTCTTTGTTACTGGAGAAAGATATCCTGGCAAGAAACTTCCATTTGTGTCAAACAGGCATGTCACTGTCATGTGACTATGAGCCTCACCTGCCTCTGTGGATGCTTTCACTGTGCACAACCACAAAATGTTCACATTTCTTCTTCTGGCCCACAGGGCACACAGGGGTATTTCACTTGTGACACTGTAGGGCATCTCTTCAGTTTCCAGGTACACTGTCATTCTGGATGATTATCTCTGAGTTCATAGCCCTCATCACCCTTGTCACCTATTTCCTAAGATATTACACCTGCATTTAGGCCATTTCTTTGGCTATGTTTTATTGAGGGTTTCAGAACTTTACATCTTCTTAGTCTTCTTCCTATTTCCTGGAAGTTCTCAGATGCTAGGTAGCATATCACGTAACTATCTTACACATAACCAGCACTTTATAAGTAACTTAAGAACCTCCTTTTTATTTTTAAAAAAGTGTTCCCTCAGTGAGTGCCTCTTTGCTCATCTGTACCATCCACTACCATCTTTCAAGAATTTATGTATACAATAGAGAGCAGCCAGTTGTAAGAAGAGTTAATCAGTGTCAATTCTACACTATGCTACATGTGGCTACATAACCCTGGGATGGGGAATTCGAGTGACTTATATCAGACTTGATATATCCTGTCTGGGATAACTCAATTTAAAGCATGCTTCTCTAGCTGTATCACAAGGCAGAGTTAGTAGTAGAAATCAAAATTAACATCATGAGCTCATGACCGTCCTTATGCAATCAGTAGCACCATGCTGATTCGACAAAACAAAAAATAATAAGCTCGCACATAGTGAAGACCAATGAAAACATTCATGCATCCAAGCAAATGTGATAACAAATTGATAGTAAATGATAGAAAGACAGATACTGAAAAATGCAAACATATAGGGTGTGCTTTGTGACCCAACATTCAAACATTACTCACATGTTCAGCAGTATCGTCAAATTCCCACTGATTGAGGTTATGAAAGTTGGGGTGATGGGGGGACACAAAATAAAAAGAAATGAAGAGAAACTTGTACCCTTACAGAGATGGTGTTAACCTCCTTTAATTAAGATATAGGAGAATTTAGTCATTAAAACAATGCATACAGCAACATTCCCAAGAGCTGAAGTGTAGTGTTGATGCAGACTTTCAATTCTAACTAGGACATGAACTTGAATATGCTGTGCCCTTGTCATTACTCAAATCAGCATGTATTATTTGATTAAATGTGTGGTTCACTAAAGTGAGACAATAAGACAGAGCAAAAAATCTGTTTCTAACCAAACACTACTTGTATCATTAACTTTTACTTCATCCTTGGGTTATTTAATTAATTCAAGTTACTATTTAAATTAATTTCATTATACTGAAAATCACATATTTCAATGAAGACCTGTGGGAGGTAAATTTCAATGAACAGTTACGGAGCATAAATGAAATATCTGTAAGAAGCATTAAGGCAGTCAATAAAGAGATGCCAAAGTGGAAGGTAGACATGTTTCTAAAAGATGCATTTAGCATTATGTAACTTTGCTAGTACTCAACTTCACAATGAAGATAAAGACAGAATTATAATTTTATCATGTAAAATAGCTAAGAATTAAAGAATATCAAAACATGATGATCGTACTGGCTTAAAACAGTAATGATGGCTATTGTTATTTTATGAGAACACTCTACTTGGGCTGGAGAAATGACTCAGCAGTTAAGATGACTGGCTTACTTTGGCAGAGGATTTAGGTTCAGTTCCCAGTACCCACAGGGCAGCTAACGACAGTCTGTAATTACACTTTCAGGGGATCCAGTGCCCTCTTCTGGCCTTTGCCAGCATTGTATGACAGGGTACACCAACATACATACAGGCAAAACACTCATATGCATAAAATAAAAATAAATAAAAGGAGAACACAGTCTACTTTAAAAGCAATATATAATAAATAATTATAAAAATCAAGTAGATTTCTGATGGTTCTCCAGTATTTGAAATTTTTATAGTTTTTAAAAAATGTTTTCTGTTGTTTATAATTATCTTTATGAAGATGAACACTCCACTGTCTCTTTTATAATCTACTTCCATAAAATTTATTTTATCATGTATGTCATTTATCAAACATAAGATAAAATGACAATGGGATTTGCTGGAAGTTTGAATTTAGAGGACTGGGGGCTGGAGACGCTCCACACACGAGTGGGGAATGTGAGTCTGGCAGAGCAGCCCCACTGGCTATTGTGTCCTGTCATGATGATACGAAATGATTCACTAAGAATTGATTCAGAAGTTCTATGAACTAAAACAGTTAGAATGAGTAACATTCATATATGTGCAGTATGATTCCATGTTTACTAAAATCTGTATCTGTGAACAAATATGTGCACCGACACACACTGACAAAACCCCACATTTGTTTTTCGAACATTCTTTGTTATTTAAACCTGTTATTTTAATATGCCTGGAATAAAATACATGCTTGTAATAAACAGAACTAAGCCTAGGCCCATTTCCATTGTAAAGGGATACCGTGAATCGTCTGCGTCTGCATTTTCAGAGTGGCCTGCAACCCAAAGAGAGGTTTGGGCCAGAGAAGGGAGCCATGAATGTAGACCCTGTTATTCCTTTAAGCAGTGTGTTTCAAAACGGAAGCAAACAATACACTTTTGTGAATTGACTACACTAAGACCTTGAGGGTAAAGGCTTTCATTAGAGCCATAGAGGTATGTATTAATGCAAACTTTCAGAGATTAAAGAAGGAAAAATGGAACATGTTGGTGAGACAGTTTTCATTTGGTTCCTGATATTTCTCATATAAAAGAAGATATTCCCATTTTAAATGACACAAAGTCCCTCATTTTTCCTGTTTCTCTGTGGATGTGCTCAATAAGCAGTCTAATGTGTTCCCTGTCTCCTGACAATAGGATCCCATCACCATCAGAACAGCGATGGCACGAGAGGAAAAATCTACACCGAGGTCATCTTCTTCCTCTCAGAAAAATATATGTAATACAAGGAGATTTAGAATAGACTCATTTTGAGGCTATCTTCAAACATCTCTAAACTATGGGAAAAATGAAGATATTAAATGTTTTGTTTTAAACAACTTACTACTGAACCAAGTGGGGACATCGTGTTATAAAGCCACAGAGAACAGAACGTCTCATGTACTCAGCTACTCTTTAGGAAATGCTTTTGTTTCTCTGGGGTGTGCAGGCAAAAGTGTATGTATGTTTGTGTGGCTGCACATGTATGTGAGGATGCATGTGTACCTGTGTGCATGTGGAGGCCAGATGTTGGGTACTGTTTCTCAGGCACAATCCATCTTTATTTGAGAAAGTTTCTAACTAGTCTTGAAGTTGCCAAGTAGGCTAGATTGGCTGACTGGAGAATTCGCCTTCTTCAGCCTCTGCAGCTCTGGGATTCGAAGTGCATGCCACTGAATCTGGGGATTAACCTCAGGTTCTCCTGACAAGTACTTTAGTGACTATGCCATCTCCCCAGTCCTCTAGAAATTCTCCACACTCGGTTCAATGCAGGGGATCCCATTTATTCTCTTAAAAGCTTTAATCGTATTATCATTGTCATTGTCTTTACCTTCTAGGAAGGAAACAATTACTTCCGCCAAATATGTAACGTGAAGAAATACTAAATAAAATATGATCAGAGTTCTTTCCCCTGAATAAATCTGCCCTTTCTTGATAAAAAAACTCATATGTTAAGAAATTAGATCATCCTAGTTCCAAGAAGTTTAAACATAGCAGAAGGTAGATCCTATCAATCAAACTGCAGCTCAAAATTATTTCCCATGATTTACATAGAATCACTCAATTTTTGAAGTTCAAAATGTAAACTCAGGCATGGCCGTAAAGATCAGAATACCTGTACTTTTAAAAAGGTGACTTTTAATGTCCTCTGATGATAATTTATTTTTAGTTAATGTGACTTCTACTTTAAAAGGTAAATGTATAGCAGAATATTTTAAAGCCTAGAATTTTGAATGGGTTTTTAAAAATGCCAAGAAACTTAAAGAAAGGCTAAAAGAAATGTGCCATAAGAAACAGGCTCACCTGTGCATCAGCCAGCATGACATCCTTCAGCATGGGCTGGCCCTTGGGCTCGCCGTTTTCCAGCCTCACGTAATGCACCTGATATCCTCTTATCTGGCCATGCTGCTTATTGGGCACAGGTGAGCGCCAGGAGACTTTAACGGAGGTTGAGTTGACAGCCTCCACCTCGACTTTGCGAGGAGGGCCACTAGGAACTGGAACAACATCATCGGATAAAAGAAAATTATAGGCACTTGTCCCACCCAGTGAGAGCATACTGTTTACTCAAAAATGGGTAGACCCACTATGCTTCATTTGAAGAGTACAAGCGTCTTCAACCAATGAAAATACTCAACCAATCTGCTCTACCTTTTAAGAAAAGATCAAAAACCATGACCGATGCAAAAAGAAAAAAAATGGAAGAAAAAAAAAAGAGTATCAGAGAAATAGAAAAACATGTAAAAAATGTACAAAAGCCAAGGAGGATGCTTTGAGAACCAAAGCATTAAAGCACAAAGAAGTACTGAAATAATAACAAAAACAGACTGTTGACAGCTGTGTGTTTCTCAAAGGTTTGATTTTTACTAGCAGAACAAAAAGATTCTTGACTATATGGAGTCTTCTCTTTTTCTCTCATATCAAAGGTCGCTCCGTATAACTGATTCCAAAAATCGCAAGACAAAAAGACAAGGAGGTAGTGGGTTTGAAAAGTGAACTCCAAAATGATAAAGAGAAACCAAAAAAAAAAAAAAAACCAAAAACCCAAAACCCCCAAAAACCCAAATAACCACAGAGATTCTAGATGGAGGGCACACAGAAAATCTGGATCACAAGACCATAGGAGCAAAATGTCCTTTTAAAAGGTAGAAAATTGTTGCATTGAAATTGAAAAAAAAAATGCCCAGGATGCAGCAAAAATGGATCTTTGGCAAAAACATTGATGTATTAGCAAGGTTGGGTCAAAAGATGAGCAGAAAAAAATGAGTAACTGTTAGCCTATTAAAAGCAGACCCAGACTGTGTCAGAAGGTGCAAACTGACGTAGCGCAGGCAACATACCATCTTCATCGGTTCGAATCAACACGGACAAGCTCTCAGGGCCAGGGCCGACATCTGTGTGGGCAGTCACAGTGATCCGATATTCAGTCCATTTTTCCAGATGTTCCAAAAGGTATTTGGTAGTGTCCGAAGGAATTCCCAAAACTTGATGGGGCTTGTCGTCTTCTCCATCAACTGCGGTGTACTTGAGGGAGTATTCAGTGATAATGCCATTCTGTTTTTCCACTGGTGGAGGTTGCCAACTTACCAAAATACTAGTGGAACTTGGGCTGGTGCAACTAATGTCTTGAGGAGGAGCTGATGGCTCTTATTTTGGTAGTGAGTTAAAGGAGGATTTGAGTGAAAGGACAGGAGTGGTTGGAAAAAAAAATGATAAAACAAAAGAAAAGGCTAAAGTAAATAAATGAACAATAAGGGGAAAAACTCAAAAACAACACTTTGAAACTTAAAATTTTCAACATAAATTTATGAACCTTGGCTTAGTAATATGAGCAAACAAAAAAATGAATCAATGACCAAAAATAACTGTTAAATAATGAATGGGGGGAATGTATGCAAATGAAACCTTAAGGTAATGGAGCCTCAAATAAAATTACCTACCTGAGTTTTAAACTCTTCTTCTAACCAATTTTCCTTGGTATCTCCTATCCCCACTATGTTGATGATCCAGCCCCCCAAAATTTCAAATTATATTGCTTTAAACTTGAGATCCTGACGGTGTCATTCACATATGTCATCCCAAGTGTTCGTGTCTACATTCTAGAATAAGGGACAATTTAGAGGCAGTACTCATTTGTGAAAGGATTTTTAAGTGTAAAGAGTTATCATATTGCCTATATTTCCTCTGACCAGTTCCAATTTTTTCAAGAAAAAAAAAAAGAAACAAAGCTTAACATAAAAGGATTCACTCTATCTGAAAAAAAAAAAGACAACTAAAACTAAGTCTTCCAGATCAGTTTTAATGAAAAGTGTTCATCTAACACCGATTGTAGCCCAAGTATTGTGAGCATGCGGAATCAAAAGAGGAAAAAAATGCACAGTTCAAGAGTTACCTACCGAGGGCAATGTCAGGCTTGTTGATTCTGACTGCAATTTGTACTTACCCTAGGTCAGCTTTCAGCTGTTTTATTATAACTCTTCTTGAGACACCATTGCTAGTAAAGAATTAGATCCCACCAGCAAATTTTGATAAAATTGGTAATAAACATCTATCCTTACAAAAGGTCAATAAGACAGCAATTAAAAATACCTAATTAAAAAAAACCCAAGAACCATCTAAAAACTATATGACTTATATCCATTATTTTTCACTTTTATATAATTATTCATTCTAAATAGATTTACAGGAGAATTAAAACATACATTTTTATTGTGTTTTCTAAATTAAACCAGCCATCTTCTGAACAACTCTCTCTCCCCAAATTACCCAAATATATCACTATGTCAGGAAGCACAGGTAAAACACACACACACACACACACACACACACACACACACACACACACACACGCGTGCGCACACACACACACAATATACCAAGACAGTAACTCTAAAACTGTTGAATTGTTGAATTCAAGGTAAATTGAATTGTAGGCTAAGTATGGATGTTTATTATTAATGAATAAGTTGTAGCATTATAAGACATCAAACTTCCCATCAAAAATAGTCTCATATAGTGTCTACAAAAAAAATCTGTTCTGGGTATGGTGAAACCCCTTATGATAGACACAGCAATGCTGAGACACGGTACAAGAAGAATGTAATCTCAAGAAACAAAGTACTACTCAGGAATGCAGATGTACTTGTGATTATTCCATACTTCTTAACTTTATTCAAATAATGATTTTCTGTGAATGTGCCCAATTTTCACGTGGCCAGTTGCAGAATAATAAGAAACTAGTCATAAAAGCTGAGCTTTTCCTGACTAGGAACAAATGCATGAAAATGAAGACTTGTTTTTAGCAAAGTTCAAATCTATATGCTTTAGAAGGATGAAAGTTTCATCTTTTGCTCCTTCATTTGCTGTGCTCTTGCTTTACTCTCAACCTGAATTTTGCTGGACAGCCAGATAATTCACTGAATGGGGACAGATCTATATACTTTCTCCCATTGCTCAGCTAGGCAGGTCTACTTGCTTTTCTGAAGGACTTTCTGTTTAGGAAGTGAGAAAGCATGGTCTATTATTTGGACCATGTTTGTAAACAAAATAGGTCCTAGAGGTGTCCTGTCTCCAAAGTGAGATGTTTCTCACCACTGAGATAGAATGTTGACCAGATAGTACATTAGTAGGTTTGTGTGTTGGTGAAAATAAATGTCAGAATCAGCTGCTAGTGGAAAAAGCATCAAGGAAGCAAAGAGAGACACCTACTTGATTGCATGGTTCGAGCTGATATTTCCGCTGTTGAAGCACCCAGGCCTTGAGGAGAGCGTGCAGCCAGACGGAAGTAGTACAGGCTGTTTGGCTTTAGCCCTTGCAGCCTATATGATGAGCCTGGCTCAATGGTGATTCGTTGCTGTGAGAAAAAAGAGAACTTGGTCATTTTCATGAGAGACCATGCAAAAAGTATGTTTTTAAATCAATGTTTGCGTCTCAAATTTCTATCATAATACTCATATTGCCATCAAAATACATCAAAAGGAATCATCAACATCAAAGATTATATGTCATATGTGTCATGAAGATGTCACAGTTGAAAAGCAAGTTTCTACAAAAGAAAAGAAAACTAAGAACAGAAGCCAGAATCTTCCCATTGCTGACAGGCACCCAGATCATCAAATTAAGAGAGAAGGAAAAGCCAAGACCTAGGTATGTGTTCTACCCTAAAGATGCACAAGTAGTCGTGCCATAGTCCACAATGACAAAGGACACCCATTCACCCTGATTGTAGAGAATGCTGACCATACACAATTGATTCAATGATATGACTAGCTCATCCCCCAGGACGATTACCATCCAAATTGTGGGCAAAAATATTTGGGATAGAAGTTGCAACATTTTATGAGGTTGCTATAAAACAGATGTGAAGGACAGAGTATGTAGCTCAGTAGAGTGTAACATGCTTAGGGTGCACGAGGCCCTAGCTTGGATCCATAGAACCACCAAAAAAAAAAAAAAAAAAATTGTGGCAGTGCATTCTTATAATCCCACTACTACTAGGGACATAGATGCAGGATTATCAGTAGTTTATGGTCATCCTCAGTTACCCAGTGATTCTGAGACCAACCTGTTTTAGAGACAAACCAACAAACAACAAAAATACAAAACCAAAATTGACATAAAATTGTTAGGTTCTGATTAGAGTAAAATCACCTTAGTTACTGAAGAAAGCTGAATAATTTCTAAGAAACCATATCGTTACTGTGGATTCATTTAAAGTAACTTTGAGAACATTTTTGCTTGTGGATATGGAACCTACAGCTAGAAAAAAGATAACTTCTCTTTCCGTTTTAGCATTATAAAGTACTTTCAAAATCAGATTCCCTTTAATCAAATGCTGCCTTTGAAATCTGCCTTTGCATTTCAGCACAAAGGTATCTATCTGAGTATGGGTGATTAATCCCAGACTGACCATCAGCTTGGAGGAAACATGAACAATCAAGCAAATACGTAATGGATAGGGACATAAATAATCTTTAGGCTTGTTTTCCTAATCAAGTAGTGCATGCTATTCTCACAATCAGTCAGAAGAAGATAATTCAAATGCAAAAGCAGAGAAAACATTTCGAGAGTGTTCTGGTTTTCAAATACAAAACCTTTTAGAAACTTCAGATCCCTTAAAGAAGAAAAAAATAATTCTGGCAATAAATCACTGCAAAGCACAGCTGGCCAACTGAGACCTTCTAGAATCCTCACTGTTTTCAGAAGACTGCATGTTCCTCACTATCATAAGAAATAGTGAATTAATTTCAGTTTGGTATTGGTGAAGACAAGATAATATTGTTGTATTTTTCATGCCCAAGAACATAATAGCTTAAGTTCTTAAATGGTACCAGGAGTACACAAAATCAAACCAGCATTCCACTCACAACTTTTGAGTACTTAATTTCTATTGGCTTTGTTATTTGATTTAAAGTACACTAAATTTAAAACTTGTACTTCCAGACACTGCTCCAGTGGGTGTTAATAGTTCATTTTTAAAATATTTTATTTATTATTTTTATTTACTTTATGTATCTGAGTACACTGGCTGCATGTGTATAAGTACACCCATGTTGTACAATGCCCATGGAGGACAGAAGAGGGCCCTGGATCCCCTGGAACTGGAGTTACAGATGGTTGTTAGCTGCCCTGTGGGTGCTGGGAATCAAACCCAGGTCCTTTGCAAGAGCAGCCAGTGCTCTTAACTGCTGTGCCATCTCTCCAGCCCCTATGATGGTTCATTTAATATATGAGATTTACAAAAAGTTCCTTGTCACAACTTAGGGACTAATCAACTTTCTGAAGATTATTTTTAGAAAAGAATCACATCAAATAAAATAAAATGACTTGAATGGACTGAGTTTCAAGTTTCGTTAATTCTTTTTTTTTTGTCCTGGTGTTGCTGATTTGATTTCATAACAATAGGAATGTATTTATTTGAACTATGTATTCTCATTCTCCCCATTTCTTCAAGAGGAGGCACAGTGTGGTGGCTGAGGACACACATCAGAGCCTGCCTGCCTCGATTCAGATCTCATCCCCGCAAATCAGTTGTGTGCAACTTTTCAGAATTTCATGCATTTTTTCTGAACCTTTGTTTTCTTCTACATGAAATGGGCTAAGAATAGTGTCTAACTCATAGTGCTGTAATAAGTATTAATTTAACATATGTAAAGCTCTTAGAGCTGTGTGTGTTCATGGCAGTACTCATCATAACTGAGTTTCATTTCTCTTTTGATTTCCATACTTCAACCATCTGTTGTTGCATAGCATATTCACGTTGTATACACAGTCATATTTATATCTAATAATGTTGAGCATACCAGCAAACATTTACTCTGGGGCACCTTTCTCTTGAGGCAATCTGAACAAATTCGTCTCACAATATATTTTAGCAGCATGCAGATTTTAATTAGTCAAGTTTTCATAGTGAGCTATGTACTAAGCTAAGTACTTACTATGCTGTCTTATAGGAAAGAACTGAAGGAAACCCTATGCTTCACTGAGCATCTATGATAGGACACTTGCAGAATATGAAACTTGGAAAGTGGAATCGTGGGCATTCCAGTGAGAACAAAGTTTTTATGTTTCTTTTTTCCCCATAAAGGTTCCAACTACCCATTTGGTTATTTTGGGTAAGTTCTTCTTTTGATGAATAATTTTTTGTTGTTGTTGTGGAGAAGGAAAGATTTCTTAGTCTTACCTCCTCTCCTTGCTCTCCATCTCTGAAGACCAGTTCGTAGTTGGCAATAGTATCTGAGCGTGGAGGTGTCCAAGACAGCAAAATGCTTGTTTCAGACTCAGGCTCTGCTTTGAAGTTTAGCGGCTGTCCTGGTACTAAAAAACAAGGAGGCAAAGGGCTGAGCTCAGCACCATGGCATTCCCCTCTTCCATCAAACTGCACATGCAAACTGAACGGCACGATAGGTCCTTACACCAAACAAGTTGAACTCTCTGTAGAGTGTACTTATGCTCTTCCACAGATTAAGAATAGTGTATAAACACTGCCCTGTCTTTGAGTAGTTTCAGAACCACACAAGACTGAGCAGAATTAGTAAGCACATAATATAATGTCTCTGAATTCAATCGTAAGGACAAGAGAATTGGTCGTTTCAAAATACTATTGTAAAATATGATACAATTTATGTAAAACAAATCATAAAATTGTCTAAAGCTAAGAAATGCTAAATATATACATAAAGCTGTCATTATTTACAATTGAGCAAAAACATTCTCTGGTACTTTATGTTGCACCTTATTTTTTTCCAATTATGTTTATGACATTCCATCTTGACTCATTAACAAAGTCTAGAGGCATTCATAAGCCCCGAACAGCTTCTCTTTCCAACCCACATATTTGAAAAGAGATGGGTTAGAAGTGAAAAAGAATCTCTATTCTTTATAAATAATTATTTTTGACTCCTAGATTAAATGTTTTTTAAGTATTAGACCTAATGAGAGTGTAATAGTGTCCCTAGTGGCTCATACCTAAGCTACATGGAAATTAATGAACTCATAGGATATACACAGCATCAGAAATATGAGAATAGCAGCAATTATCTACGATTCTCATATCAGTCACACAGTCTAAATAATGTATGATTTTCAATAGTCACACATGAGATATAATAAAAAGTGGAAATTTTATTCAGTTTAAAGATACCTTAATAAATTTCAACAATGCAAATGTCCTTGTTAGCACCTAACCCCATTAGCCACCTCCTATTTATCACACACCAGACTGAGGCACATCAAGGAATCATGGGCACAGCTAACCTTAGGCTGTTCTAGCCACTGTCTACTTTGATTTTTGTTGCTAGCAATTGTTCAATCATTTAACCATTGCCCTTGATAATAGGTCATGTCTCAATAGGCTATGACCAAGCCTATCTAATTTCCCAAGTTCACGTAAGAATTGAAGTATATTTTATAAAAGTGAAGACCAATAATTTTAAAAAATGAATAAAGATTCTTCACACCAGGTAGGAAAAGAACTTCTAACATATGTTTCAGGCCAATTGAGAATAAACATTCTCAAACTCACATGAAACAATATAATTTATAGCTAATAGATTGCATATCTCTAAAAAGAATGCTTGATAAATGATTTTTACAGGAAAGGGGGACTTTGGAGATATAAAAATATAATATTTCTTCTTTACAATCATTTTTCTGTAGAATGACCACAGAACAAGAAAAAAACAAAACTGATTTTTTTCTTCAAGGAGGTTAAAATCTGATTTCTAGGAGTCCTAGTGATCTCCACAGTACTCTTCCTGGGCCTGTCCTTTCTATGTGTTATAGAAGGGTGATGCAGCACTCTCCCTGTGTGTCAGCTCCACCTGTATGTGCTGTGATCTCCACAACCCCCTCTCTCTCCCTCCCCATCCCCCTCTCTCCCCCCTCAGCTCCTCTCTCTCTCCTCTCTCTGTGTCAGCCTCATCTGTGTGTACTGTGGAAGGGTGATGCAGTGCTCTGCCTGGGCGTCAGTCCTGCCCTGTCTGTGTATGTGCTGTGATCTCCACAGTGCCGTGTGTGTGTGTGTGTGTGTGTGTGTGTGTGTGTGTGTGTGTATGTGTGTCCTGTCTGTTTGTGATGTGGGACGGTGATTCCTGCAGTGCTCTGCCTGAGTGCCAGCTCATCTGGATGTGCCTTGGAAGGGTGGTTCACTCATATTTGCACTAATGCCTAAGGCCACAAATGGTCAGTGCTTCATATTTGGACTGGTCCTCATCACCCTCCCCCTCCTCCAGGCACTATGCATGACCAGGCACCTTGAGAGATTCATTAATTTGATGCTTCTGGGATCTACTCTCTGAAGAGTATCAGTTTTTTTCCAGTGCCTGCTTAGTGTGTAATCGAACATAAGCATTCAGATTGAGACACAAAGATAGAAGATAAAAGGTGAAGGAGCAAAGGAAGGAAGAACAGACAGAAATAAGACCAAATGGTGACCAGCAAACAGCCAATGCATTACTTCGGAAAGGTAAAAAGTCAAAATCCCTACTTCATGATATGATGCTGCTGGATAAATTCTAATGCTCAGAGGGTAAAAGAGTTCCTTAAGGTAAAAAGCACACATACGCATACGCAGTGGTCACCAACTGTTCTGTACTGTAACTTCTGCTTTTCTTTTTTTTAATCACTTTTCTTCTGACTTCGTGTACTCTTTCTTTTTTAATATCTTATTATTTTTATTTTACTTGTATGTGTGTATTGTCTGCATGTATGGAAGTGCTCCCATGTAATACAACGATCATGGAGGTCAGAAAAGGGTGTCGGATCCCCTAGAACTGGAGTTACAGACAGTTAGCCGCCATGTGGGTGCTGGGATTCGAACCCAGCTCTTCTGAAAGAACATTCAGTGTTCTTAAACATTGAGCCATCTATCCAGCCCCAATTTCTGCCTTTCTTACCCTTAATTTTTATAAATCTATGGAGAAAGAAGACATGTGTTAATTCAGACTCAAACCAAACTGGAACCCAGTCCAGAATTGTCAGGAATTAGGAACAGGGACGATTCCAATGGGGCCTCTCTGAACACTCAGTACAGATTTGTGCCCTGCCTTAGGCTAGTAAGTTGATGCTGACTGAAACCATCTCGAAAACCTAATTAACTTTTGTTTACTTAAACTCTTTACTTTTTTGCTTTTAATTTGTCTTTGGTGAAGTCCCATTTGGTCTCAATGTTTCATTCTTGTTTAGTGACACAAGCTTTGATTGATTTTCTAATTTGGTTTGTTTCTGTAAAGTGCCCCTTACTGCTAAATAATGAATGGAACAGACATATCAACCCCTCACAGGGTGCATTTGTGTTTTTCATTTGGTTGGGTGGTTTGCTTTTTTAAAGTTTTTGGACAACGCAAATGTTGACTAGATGACTTGATGGTAAATCTTCTCTAATAAGCAAGGGGTCTTTCCTCCTTTTATAAGCTCCATTTGAAGTGGTGTAGAGAAAATAAAATAATTTAGATTTTAAACTTCTAATGGAACTATAAATGCTTATAGTAAGAGACAAACCTTGAGATGAGTGCGGGTGCACAGGGCTGTAGACTGGCCTACCCAAGTGCCAGCATTTTGCTGTGTTGTAGTATGGGGATCCTAGTTTTATTCAACTATTTGAATTTGTTCAACAGATGTTGTTAATGTAGCTTCTAGGAAAAACCTCTAATTTTTTAATTTATTATTTATATTTTTTATAAATGTATGAGTGTTATGCCCTGCATGTAGGTAGGTACACACCTGTGTCGTGTAGTGCTTGTGGAGGTCGGAAGTGGGCATCAGATCCCCTGGAACTGGAGTTACAGACAGTTGTTAGCTGCCATGTGGGTGCTGGGAATCGAACCTGGGTCCTCTGAAAGAACAGCCAATGGTCTTACCCCCTGAGCCATCTCTCCAGGCTCAAATATTTCAATTTTTAATGACTGAAAACGAATTGGCCTTGTGGCATAAGGCCATAGTGCACCAATAAGTTCAAATCAGGGCATGCACCAATGCCACACAGCTGTGTGTGTGTGTGTGTGTGTGTGTGTGTGAAGATAATAAACTGCATATGGTGTCAAGAATCAAATTTCCTTGGGAACTGAGGATTTACTCAAGGATATCATTTTTGGGATCATTTTGCTCCGTTTCAAACAACCAGCATGCATTAGCCTTTCAAAGGAAAACAAAAAAATACTGTGAAATGAATGGATTTGTTCTTAAATTCCCAAATATATCACTCTCAGTGATTACATTTTACATATTTAGGTGAGCACCTTTCCTAGACCCCAGATGTCATATTTCATTTCTTCATATCACCCAGAGATGAGGATATTATCTACTGATATCTTCTACCAACTATTGTGCTTACAGAGCTCCTGTTTTACCTTCATATTCCTGTTTTTCAATAAATTTTTACACATATTTACACATAAAATTGACAGGTCTATTTACTCCTAGATATATTTATGTATTTTTATATTCTCAGTCTACAGTTCTGATTTGTTATTGGCATTTCTTTATCCTCACATACTAATGTTTTGTTTATATGCATTATGTGCTGTTTTATTTAGGAACTTTTCTGTTGTAACAGTCTCCTTACCTAAGAACTGAGCATCAATTATAGGGAAAAACTTTTACATTATTTAAAACTCATGAGAAAATAAAATACCCATCTAGAATTTTAACACAAGTACTCCACATTAAAGAAGGAAATTTGAGAACACTGATCCAAAACCACCCTTAGAATTAGCTTAGAATTAGCTAAGGGGAGAAGGGATAGGATACCACAAGGATTTCTTTAAATTATACTTAGGGCTAGGGAGATGGCAAAGAGCTGAGAAATGCTAACTGTGAAACGGGAAGACAGGAGGTCAAATTTCCAGCATTCATATAGAAAGCTGTTTGCCACCATGCGGCCTCTAATTAATTAGATCTTTCTCGACTACATGAACCTGACAAATGCGAAATACACTAGTATCATTACAATTATACGTAAATGAAGAAAAACTAAGAAAAAAGAGAAAAACTTTCCTATCATCTGAAATGCTGATGTGCTGGAAGGGATCAGTACTGAGTAAGTGCTAAGTAAATACTAAATACTGCTCCCCGAGGAGCAGGTTTATACTCCTAATAAACAATTTCATTCAAGTATAGTATAAATATGAGATGCTGCCAAGGACAAGGGAAGCCCCATTACTGCTAAGACGCCTAATACCTTAAAGAGAGACATATTTAAATCAGATGTATCTAGAATATTGACAAACGAAAACAAAAGCAACAAGCAGATTTATGGTGATGGAAAAACCAAAAAAAATTCACAACAAGCATCTATCTGATCCATACGCTACAAATAC